TCATTCGGCACCCAAGGGGTCAAGGCCCACAGGTTGAGAATCTCTGCTCTACAAGGTTAGCAAATTCCCTGGAAATCACTATCAATCCACATGTTCCCCTGTCCACTGCTTACTCTCCATCCAGACCCTCACTTTTCTCCAGTATTGCCCACCAGCACTCTCCATGCTCAGCCTCAAAACTACTGACAGTCTTTAGACTTCACTTGTACATAAGGTTCTGTAATATTAATATACTGTGCCTTAGCTTCTCTCTTTAAAGTCCGAGTATGCCACTGAGGGCAGGATGCTGTAACACAAAGTACTCATCTCTCTGCGACCTATAATCCATTCACCCCATGCTTCTGTTCATCACCAGGGTGCATTAGGTCCCTTCAGAACACTCAGTGCCATCCATTCTGGATCCTGCTTGTGGTACCCTTCCTCTTCCACCTCCCTTAGTATCCAAACACACTGCTGTACCTTCTGCCATTAAACTCAAGTGCATCTTACAACTCCCCATCCCCCATCACTTCCACACTGACCTTCTAGAACCACAAACATGACTGAGTAGAGGGTGACTCCATATAAAAAGTGAAAAGAGCTGGAGATAACAGCATATTCATTCACCTCACTGTTCTTAAAAGTGGTTCAACCTTTTGGAACACTCTGCTCACTGAGTTTCCTAAAGTTGACAGCTGGAAACCTACTTAGATAAGGCAATTATTAAAACATGAAAAATAAAGAACAAACCCCACAGCTTTTTTACAACACCTTGTTACATCCAACTGCCATCCATTGGTGTGAACAAGAGAATGATTTGTGCCACTTTGGAGACACAACGTGTACAATCCATCACAGACAGTGGATGGATGCTTCGAGATCCACAGGGCAGTTTCCTTGTCTTCCCCCCGCCCCCCATCACCAAGTGCCCTTAGGTTTGAGAAAGCAGGGTAAGTGATCTTGGGAGACAATAACTCACTTTTTTTTTATCGTGAAACAATCTTCATAACAGGAAACATAAAAATATGACATTAGTTCAAAATCCTAATCAAAACGTTTATGAGAAATCAGAAAAATAAAAGGCATTACTTCACAGTATACTACCCCCTTGATAGTTCTAATTTGAAGTTACATCAAGCAGAGGACAGTATCACTTTCACTGATGGAACCAGCCACTGAGGAAAGTACCTCATTCATTTTGTGCCATGGCTTTCTTCAAATTTAACCTACATTCCAATTGTTATGATACATCCAATGTCCCTCATCCCTTAGGACTAAACACATTTTTTTTTCCTGAGATTTTGAAATTTTTACATAAAAGGATAGCTTGAGAATAGGACTTATCTAAATACAAGATTTACTTATTTCATATACACCTGATACACAGTATTAAGACAACTTCATATTTCTTAAATAGTTTTGCACATGAAGATTTCATGGTGTAGAGTGTGTGATCTTAACAGGGTATACCATTAGTGCTCAAAACCTTTCAGAGTGGATTCTGGAGCCTTTCAGATTTCAGAACTTTGCATTTGAGACGCTCAGCACTGACACCGTGCTTCAGGTTGGGCACTCTTCCAGACACCTCACACAGCTTATCAAGATTAAACGTGAGAACTGAGAACTGAACAATTAGGTAAGTCAAGACTTCACAATCTGTCCTACCTTTAGACAAGCTGGATTGTTCATCCCCAGCAACGGAGCCCAATTACCAGATCACTAGAGAGCAGAACCATGACTCAAGCTCCCACTTATTTTCCACTCCCAGATCTCAGCGACTAAATCCCCATCACTTTCCCGTCTTTGTGCTGTGACTGTATCATATGTAGTCACCTCTTGCTTGTGAATGTGTTTGCAACCTGGTTTAAATTTGAGACAGTTTACAAAGTATATTCATATTAAGAATCAGATTCACAGCTACTGTAATACTTTCTCTGAAATGCCACAGGTATGAATCCCAGCTGAGTAGAACCAATCATTTTGGAGTGGCAACAGCTGCCCTCAGTGGGCACACACTCTTGTTCCATGGTTTTCCATTCCTGCTAGTACTACCTATCTGGGTCTCAAAGCCTTTCACCAGCTATCCTCCAAGAGTACATTAAATGGCACCTCTGGCTTCCTAATTGCTTGAGATGAACTCTCCCCCAGCCTCTTTCAATGGCACTAACATTTTGTTTCTACGATATGTAACTAACTCTCCTTGAGAACCACTTCTGTAGTATTGGACAACAAACTGGATGCCACTAACCAGAAGTCTCAAATTTGGGCTCCAGGTATATAAATGTGTCCCTTAGTATACACAGAAATGACTAAACAACTGATCACACACACACACATGCACACATACACCTTCATGGCTCAGCTGGTAAAGGCTTGTTGCCAAGGCCTGAGTTTGATTCGTGGGACATACATACTGGAAACAGACCACCCTCTCTCACACACACACATAAGGGTTTTTGTTGTTGTTGTTGTTGTTGTTGTTTTTTAATAAGAGACAATGCAGTGGATGTTACTTTTTTAATAAGCAGAACCCACATTACATCATTTGTTATAGGGAATAAAGAACAATAATTCATGATAGCACCAGAAAGCTTCTTCAGTCACAAAATAACTGAAGGACAAACACCTTCCCCTAAGCCTTTGGTTAAATGTTTACTTCTGATCTCAGCTCTCCCTCCCAGATCAGCCTGCTGCTTCGAGAGTGAAACCCTGCCTTTAAATGTCATACTGGTTAGGTTCTAAGTCTTTTAACTTGTCTTAATAATGAAATGAAGGTCCCTAGCTTAGCTAAGGAACCTAGACAAGTCTTCTTTGATTTCAGCTTCATCCCAAGGCCCATGAATATTTTCCTTAAAAAGCTGCAGGTGAATGAGGTAGTAAGGGCAGAGACAGGAAATGGAAAACAGGAGAAGAGCAAAGAGTATGGCTCCCACAGCACTAATGGACAAAAGACCTCCAAAAGCTGAAAAGGCAAAGAGCAGCGTGACCCCTACATAGCTTCTCGGTGTATATGCCTTCAGTTTCTTCTGTAACATGGGCCACAGTGCAAAGATCTGGATGGCAAAGGTCACCATAATAAAGGCGTGTAGTGACCGGGGAAGGCGTGAGGCCAGGCAAACGGAAGCAAAGATGGCCATGTTCAAGGACAGCGTGCTGGATACGATAGCAGCATTGGCACCATAGTCAAAGAAGATGAGATGGCCTAACAGCATAAAAACTGACATGGCATAGATGGTGTCAGTACTAACAGACTCTGTCAGGGTCTTTAGCACTGGTGAAAAACCATACGTGAAAGTAATGAAGACCAGAGTACTTTTCAGGTCGGCCCACCGGGTCCGACCACTCTTCTTCCGCCCATCACCTCCATCAATAAGATCAAATAACACATACCCAACCAAGGAAGATGCCAGTCCAGTCCCAAAAAGCCACTGGGGAGCCAGAAGACCCTCATCCATGTACCACCAAATCACTACAAAAACACAGACACTACACAGCTGCTGTATCACCACACTGGACTCAAATACCACAGCCCAGTATTGGTATTTCCGGGCGTAGATGTTTTTCCGGAGTTCTTCCAGAAACCTTTGGTCAACATAGTTATCAGGGAACGGCTGCCGCTCATATAAAACCTTCTGCCACTTGACTTCTGGGGTGTCCGTTACACGTTGAGCACACATTATCTCATTCTTTCCTCAAATCCAAGTGGGCTCAATCTCCCTCAAAGACGTCCATGGGGTTCCGGTTCTTGATAAAGTTGTAGATTAAGACCTCTCTGGAAATGCCATGCTGATACGCTACAGAAGTTTCCTTGTTTACAAAGCTAAGCCTGAAATAGATGAGTTTGTTCTGTGAGTCAGAACACACAGCTGAATTCCTTAAAAAAAGAAAAAGAAAAAAAAAGAAAGAAAAAGAGAGAGAGAACGGTAAATATATGAAAGCTGGGAAACGTCTTAATAGGCATCAGTTACAATCAAAACAACTCTGCTTACTGAGCCTAAATAAATTGTGCCTGGTGACATAATGAAGCATCAAACCTTCACATTTTAAAGTATAATATTAATCACTGATGTCTGCACGGCACCACTGACTCAGAATGTTAAATGTCTTATGCACCTTCTTTAACTGTCACACCCTTACAAGTTAATACTAGTCCCACTTTACCTAATAAGACATCCGAGTTTCAAAACAGTAGAGTAGGTCTCAAGGTAACAGAGTGGAGCCCGACCTCCAACAAAAGTCTAGTGTCTAAGTCTGTGCTTCTGGCCATCCTTCTCTAAGACAGTCTTAATTTGAGCGTTCATACACCCTAAGGTACGTACTATTTTTGCATGATTATATTTGTAACTTACGCAAATTTATAGGGACAGAATCCATCCATAGCCATTACCTGGTTCCTAAAGGCATCTGAATAAGTTATCGGTCTAATGACAACAATAATCTGCACCGTACAGAAGGGAATGATCACTACAGTTTTAGCCCAAACCAATAACTCACATCTTCTTTGTTCATTAGCTGAGCTCACCATCCTTTAAAGTGCTATATCATCCTAAAGAACTGAAACAGCAAAACTCTAGCGCAGTAACAAGAAAACAACCACCCTATCTTCAGAATGGGAAAGTCAGAGTCAGAAACACAAAGGTCATTCAGCAAATTTGAGAAAGAACTTCCTGCCGGACCTTCTTTACGTCGTGGAGGCCAGGATGGACCTTTGCTTTAAAAAGCCATACGCCCTGGAATCGGCCTTCATGCACTGGGACCTCTGGATTTGAAAGGTCCGCATCACTGGGCGGGAAAGGGTCTTGGGCTACCAGCCGGCCTGCCCCACCCGCCGCCACCCCTCTCCTAACCTTGGCTCAGCCGAAACGGCGAAGGACGCCGGAACCCACCTGCACCAGGCTCTTTAGGTGGTGCACGATCGAGAAGAGTGGCCGCCCAGCTACTTCTACATCCGGGACGCAGGGTTGGAGGGGACGACCGTGGAAGAGCACTTCCGGATCGGCACCACTCGGCGGCCAAAGCGTCCCGCCCTGAGACGCCACACCGCGAGGTTGCTGCTGCCCTCTACTGGTTGCTCCTCTCCTGGACATCTGCTCGAAGTGGAATGCTCTAAGCCTGGGAAGCAAATCCCTCAGTGGGATTTCCTTCACAGGCTGTGGAAGGCAGGAGAAAGCAGGAAGAGATGCGGAGCTGGTGGAAGAGTGGTAACAGGAAGGTGGTTGAGCATATGTTGTCAGGCTCTCACCCAAGGGACTTTCCACGCATTCAAGCCCTCCTCCTGTAGGTGCCAAACCAGGTTCCTGATATTCACCAGAAGGAGGGGAAAAAAAATCCCAGATCTCACGTAGCGTTCTGTACATTGACTTCCACAGAGACGATGCGATTGTTAGTTTGTATTTGTCCAAAGGCAGCTAGTTGGTGATTGCAAATAGATCAAAAATATCCAAATGTGAATGGCTCCAAAGCTAGATTCTTTCCTAGACTTTGCCACCTAAAAGAGATGAGGGTTGAGGGACTTTGGGACAAGAGATTGCTTGTCCCAAAGAGAACTGGGGTCATGTAAGTGTCACAGGGTTTATAAATAGGTGGAAGCTCAAAGAACTGAAAATATATTAAATAGAGTGGACACAAAAACAGAAAGCATGAACCCGTTTATTAATATTCACACTCTCTGTGCTTTGAAGTCTTCGTCTGTAAAAGAGAGAAGGCACTTAACTTGTTCTTGGCCACTTTATGGAATGGCTGAAGGACTCACGTGTAAAAATATTTTGCAATGTATTGATTGCTTTGTGGTTGCTATTTGCTTACTTTGGTTATTGTAATACCAGCACGGGTCAAGTGATGTAATTCTTTTTGTAATATTTTGTTTTTAATTATATCTACACATGTGCTCCTGAATACAGGTGCCTGTGGAGGCCAGAGGGAGGTGCCGGATTCCCATAGCTATCGTTACAGGCAGTCAGGAGCTGACATATGGGTGCTGTGAACTAAACTTGGGTTTTCTCGAAGAGGAAGGAGTGCGTTTAACCGCTGAGGCGTCTCTCCGGCCCTCTGACTCCCGTTAAGATTTATTTTTCATAAGTCTGATGAACTCTGCAAAATGATCTCTTTCCATTTCTTTTTAGGCTTTTGTTCCAAAGTTTGACAAGATTCCTTGGCTCAGTGAGGCCAGCCTGGTGAACAAGCCACTGGTTCTCAGCATCCCTAGAAGGTAACTTCCCAGCTTCTGGGGACAAAACTGTTGAGAAAGACCTCAATGGCTATGCTCTTAAGGGACAGAGGTGCATGTGACCTATTGAGAAACCAAGTTGAGTGCACAAAAAATAAGAAATTCCCCAGGTTTCTCAGACAAAGGTTATGCTGTGTAAGGCCTTGCTAGAAGAAACGAGACCCACCATAATCTTCAATTCTGCGTGCACTGTTCAACCCCCAGACCCTGAAACTCAAAACTCTCCCATAGCTTACGCCCTCCCCTGCTTTAGTCTCTAGTCTTTGAATTTGAACTATCAAAAGTCTAGAACTATAACACGACATCTTAATAGAGTAGCAATTGCTGTATTTCATGTGGGGCCTCACTCACTCCCGCCCCCACAAAGCCAACGGAGAACACATTTCTCTTTTTGAAAACTGAGGCTTTATATGTAAGGGCATTTCAGCTTCTACTTAAAATAATTATGGTCTTCATTAAGCACTCCCCTGCTTAGTAATAAAGATGTCCCTGGGTGTGGTAATAAGTCTTCTCTGGGGAAGGTAGGTTATGAACTGATGGCGGGGAGTAAGGAATCAGGGGACAAGCAAAGAAGGTCCAGAAGCAGTTCCATAGTCTGGAAATGGTTAGTAGAGAGAGCATACTCTAAGAATCTCTTTTCCTATTGTCATGCATCCATAGGTCTGTGAGCAGATGACTACATTAGGGGCGTCCATACCTCCATAACACCATCCCTCCGTAACACCATCCCTCCATAACACCATCCCTCCATAACACCATCCCTCTGTAACACCATCCCTCCATAACACCATCCCTCCGTAACACCATCCCTCCATAACACAACACCATCCCTCCATAACACCATCCCTCCATAACACCATCCCTCCGTAACACCATCCCTCCGTAACACCATCCCTCCGTAACACCATCCCTCCATAACACTATCCCTCCATAACACCATCCCTCCATAACACCATCCCTCCATAGAACCATCCCTCCATAACACCATCCCTCCATAACACCATCCCTCCATAACACCATCCCTCAATAACACCATCCCTCCATAACACCATCCCTCCGTAACACCATACCTCCATAACACCATACCTCGGTAACACCATCCCTCCATAACACCATCCCTCCATAACACCATCCCTCCGTAACACCATACCTCCATAATACCATACCTCGGTAACACGTCTGCTTTGTCTGCACTTTAAGACAGTTCTCAAAAGGCTGATAGATGGTTTTGTGTATTTTCAAAGCAAACATTTTAGTGCCTGTTGTTCAGCTGTGTGTGTGTATATATGTGTATGAGAGTGTGTGTGTGTATGTATGTATGTATGTATGTGTGTGTGTATGTGTGTGTATGTGAGTGTATGAGTGTGTGTGTACGTGAGTGTGTTTATCTGGCATGAGCAACCAGAGGTTCAATAAACTCAAAGGTTTGCTTAGGAAGTAACAAAGTAATATACCCATTAAGAGTTGATAATACCTCAAGAATCATCGTGAGTAATGATAACTTAGCATCTTTTTTTAAACTCGACTTAAGTCATAAGCTCACATGCTGGTGGCAGACAGACAGAAGCCACATTGATAAGGTTGGTCAGATGGAGGTAGCAGTGGGAGAACTGACCAAAGGTGACACTCCTCTGCCTGAGTCAGTGTTGCCGCAGGTGTCTGAGTCCGGGGCCAAATCTGCTCAGTTTTCTAATTAGAAACAGGGAAATTTTCAATTACTAATGCCTGACATTAATAAGCTAACCACCTCCATCCCTCAGTTCTCTCTGCCTAATAGATATGCCTCTGAACCCAGGGGCAAAGCATCCCAGTGCATGGTCATCTTGCCGCCAACTCCCCTGTTCTCTGTCCAAGCCTTTGGTGAAAGGTAGGGAGTAGAGAGCAGAGCGGAGTTTGAGAGAGGCAAGCTTAGTACTCAACTGGACAGTCATGGTGCCTGTTCTTTCAGAGTCAAGATCAGGGTTGTCAGGGAGACTGGTCTATATGCAGCATCTGTAAAGGGATGCAGTAACAAACACACACACACACACACACACACACACACACACACACTGGCCAAATTTAGGCTAGTGGTGAGAAGTTACTTAAGGTACTAAGTGAAATTCTTCCCAATCAAACGCTAAGACTGAGGGAGCAATCTTGGAGTATGGCTGGAAAAATGAGTTTACTTACCTCATAAAAGTTGAGAGATGACTGAATGGTACCTGTGGAGTACCCTCAAGCTCTCAGAGGGCAGGATAGAAATACAGCTTATTGGGAAAAGAAAGGAAAGGAAAAAGGAAAAAGAAAGGAAAGGAAAAGGGAAAGGGAATGATTCATGTATAGCTTTTTTTAAGGACAAAATGCATTTGTCCAGAGTTCTAGGTCCCAGACTCTTTGTTTGGCAGTAACTTCCCTCAGCTCTTAGGGGATAGTTCAATGCACTCAAAGTGTTACATACCCTTGGGCAAGCAGATCTCATAGAATGGACTTGAAAAGGTAAAGGAACACGTCTCAGAATATCCCAGCTTCAAACAAGCTCTGGAAACACAGCTGTGGGGATGGAGGTGAGACCACACACACACACACACACACACACACACACACACACACACACAGAAATCCCGCCCCCCAGAAGTAACGTGGAAGTGCCTGTATGAAGCTTCCAGAAGCACTTTCCCAGCTTGGCCGAACTGTGCTGAAACCACACCTGTTAGTGAGAGGTTTCACAGGAGCAGAACTAAGCCAGCCTTCTCGCCTGTGGATGGTCAGTTTTGGGAGAATAAATCTGAGGTAGGCCATTCCCATAACTGAGAAGCTTGTGAAGGAATTTACATCAGACCACCTCCCCAGCTTCCTAGGACTCAGGGAAGTGGCAAGAGAAACGAAACAATAAATCCTTCACGAACACCACACTCCTTTCCCATGAACAATGAACAATGAAATCCCTTCTCACTAAAGCGGAGAGGTGTTCTTGGCAGAAGATCAGCGTTCAATGTTTCCATCTCTTGGATGGTAGGGACATGCTCAGTGTCTCACAGCCCCTACACCAAGGCCTCAGCCCCTCATTCTTTAATTAAATGATCTCTAGTGTGAGGCTGGGTTATCCTGTGGAGACAACTGGTGTTGCCCCTATTACATCTTCATGTTTCCCAACAACCGGGGAGAATGTTCCAGTGAAAGATGTTCTGTGTGGGAGGACAGAGGTGAGTTGCTTGAGTGTGCAGGGGCATAAAGTCTAGGAAATCCAGCCAGGCATGAAAGGATGGGTTCTTGGTAAGCGTTAAAGCATCCATTGCAGGAGCTTTGAAGAAGAAACCCAGAGAGCATTTCATTCTGTGCCCTTCTGCTTTCAGGAGCAGCCCTTTCCCCTGACTTATTTGTATCTCATCTAGGACTTTCATTGGTTAGTTGAAAAAAAGAAAATAAGAAAGGAAGAAAGAAAAGAAAAGCCAAGGTGGCATGAGGGGAGTGTCGAATAAGCCTGCCTTGTGCAGAGCTAGAGAGGAGGCCGTGGGAGTGCCCCAGGCTTCCCTGGAACAGTGGGGGCCTGGCTCTCCCAGCCCAAGACTGTGGTTCTAACTTCCCTTTGCATTGATTGCCTAGGTATCACTCCTCCATTGTTCTGACTTCATACAAGAAGGATATGTATTTGCCACACTTGCTTGAAGATCCATATGTCATATCGAAGGTACTCAGAAAGCTTTCGTTGACCCCAGCTGTTAATTCTCTTGCTTCAAGAGAGTGGGATGTTTTGTAGACATTATATCTTTTTCCTTTGTCCCTAATAGAGAATGGAGATGTCATTTCCTAACCCCTTAACGTGAGTCTGTGTCTGGCACATCATCATTGTCCAGTGAATATTTATTTGTTCAATTAAATGAATTTGTATCACCACACATAAAACCAGGTTCGACTTGTCCTTACCATGACTGAAGTATTTTAGTGCCCCAGTATATCATCACTAAAACTAAATAATGTTAGAAATAGCAAAAGGAGAAAACAGAAATTAATTTTGGAAGAAAATAATAATTAATTAATTAATAATTAATTAATTTCTGTCAAAGCCCTTCAAAGACAATTTCTCAGCTTGTAGCTGGATGGGTCCTTGTTTCCAGAGACATTAAACCAGCTTCTTCCTCAACCCCATGAATCACTTGTCTTCTACAAGCAAATCCCCCACTCCTATGGAACCTTCCATTTAAAAATCCCACTCTTCCAGCCCTGCTCACAGAAATCCAATACAACTGGTTGCTGGTGGCCCCTGGAGGCACTACGTGGCACCTAGGCATCTAAGCTACGGTGCTTGAGCTTTTAGCACTTGTGGAGGGAGGGGAAAAAGGGATACACCAGTGATGTTCGTGATATTTTTCACTTGTAAAACGTAGGGATTCCTGGAGCTGTTGCAAGGCAGCACCTGAAGGAGAGTTCCCATGGCGCTTGGCCCAGTGCCAAACACGTAGCACTCAGTCACTATAAGGAACGGTTATTAGGAACCCTCATGCCCCCTTTCCATTTATTCTAACACAAGGCAGAAATGAGTAACTCAATTGCAGCCCACACAAACAAAACAGGAGCAAACTGGATGGGACAAGATCAGTGATAACCACAGACATAGCAGAGATTGGGGCAAAGTACTTGAGATGAACGGGAAGTTCATTACAGGTTGGGGAGGGGTGAGAAGCAAAGGAAGAAGTGGCACCAGGTTGGCTTGAAGGTAACCCCTATAATCCAGAGGCAGTTTAGAGAAAGAGCAAAGAGACTCGAGCAAAGGAAGGAATGTCAGTCAAGACATGGCACCTGAAAGTTCAGGAAATGCTTGAAGAATGTCCAAAGGTCAGAGCCCATAAAGCCATGAATGGTGAGCAGATACACCACTTTCAGCACGGGGGGCGTCAGGGACCAAGCTGTGCTAAGTGTCAGCACATTAGTCTCCCTCACAGCCTGAAGAAGCAAGTTCACTAGGAAGCTACCATGACGCATACTAGGTGACTGGGAGAAGGAAAACTGGCCACAGAGGCAAGAAGCTTTCAGTCATTGAGTATCTAAAGTATTTAGACAAACCATCATCTGGTGCCAAATGCCTGCTGCCGACGGTGTGCCCTGGGTCTCAGTGCACTGTGGCAGCCTAGACACTAAAACACCAAAGCATCCTGTCATCTACAGCAGAGGCTTTTCTTTTTTTTTTTATTAGATATTTTATTTATATTTCAGATGGTATCCCCTTACCTCATTCCCCCTCCCTCCCAGAAACCCCCCTATTCCTATACCCCATACTCCTGCTTCTATGAGGATGTGCCCCGACCCAACCATCCACTCCCACCTCCTCACCCTCGAATTCCCCCACACTGGGGCATCCAGCCTTCATGGGACCAAGGATCTTCTCTCCCACCTATGCACAACAAGGCCATCCTTCCCCTACATATACAGCTGGAGCCATGGATCCTTCCCTAAGTGCACCCAGGTTGGTGGTTTAGACCCTGGGAGCTCTGGTTGGTTGGTATTGTTGCTCTCCTCATGGGGCCGCAAACCCCTTCAGCTCCTTCAGTCAGCTTTTCTAAAGACTGTTTAGAAGCCTTCCTCTTGAGGCACCTAGCTTTTTGTGACTGCAGTACCTGAGCCTGGCCACTAGATAGCAGTTAGGAGCAACAGCTTCCAGAGGCCTGACCAATAGTGGGCATGAAAGAGCGGTCTCTGAGTAGACCTAAGAGAAACCCCAGCCAGAAGCACTGCTCTTAGCAAGAAGGAGAAATCCAAGAACTGTACTCTCATTTTTCGCTTCCTAGGGTCTGCTCCTCCACTGGGGTGTGTGTGTGTGTGTGTGTGTGTGTGTGTGTGTGTCTGTTGTCTGTGTGTATGTGTCTATGTGTATCTGTGTGTTTGTGTGTGTGTGTCTGTGTGTGTGTGTCTATGTGTCTGTGTGCGTGTGTCTATGTGTCTGTGTGTGTGTCTGTGTCTGTGTGTGTATCTGTGTGTGTCTTTGTGTGTATGTCTCTGTGTGTGTCTGTGTGTATGTGTCTGTGTGTGTATGTGTCTGTGTGTCTGTGTGTGTGTGTGTCTGTGTATCTATGTTTGTGTGTCTGTGTGTATGTGTCTGTATGTCTGTGTGTGTGTCTGTGTGTGTGTGTGTGTGTGTGTGTCTGTGTGTCTGTGTGCCTGTGTGTTAGGGACCATGCTGTGCCTCAAGTCAGATCCTTAACTGTCACAGCAGACCTCCACAGTATGCTACAAACTTTGAGTCCTTGCCACATATATGCTGTGAGGTAAACAGGCTCAGCAGCTGCTCCTTTCAGAAAGAAATTATGTCACACCTCAAGGGAGTGGAATGTTTTGTGGATACTCTATCTCTTTCTTTATCCCTAAACGAGGGACTTGCCAAGAAATTGCTAACCATCCTACAGCCAACTGGACACTCAATAGGTGCAAAGGTCAGGACACCTGGCTAGCTCCTCTCCACCATCAGCAGTCAAAGGGCACAATCTGAACTGTCGCCTTCCACAGTAGCATTCCTCACGTGCCCTGGAGGGGCCTTGCAGCAGCTGCAGGTAGCAAGTGTGCCTGGAGCAGACAGAGGACAAAGAAAGACACAGGTCTGGGAGAGGAAGGCAGACAACGAGAGTAGGCTGTATGGAGAGGTCTAAAAATGATACCCACCAGGGGAGGAGGCTGCTGGAGGCCCAGAGATGAAGGAAAAACTATTGAAACGAAGCCTAAACATTTCCTCAAATCTGTACTGGGCAGAGACTTCTCACTAGCAATGCTCTTAAGTAGAAATTGGCCTCATGAATGTTCCAGGAACGTTACTTATTCCACAGAGAGGGAAAAGGAGAACATGGGTGGCCTGGGGAATTACACCTAGAGGCTCTAAACCTCCTTTAGCAACCTGTGGGGGACTGAGTATAAACCAGTCAGGACTCGCAGGCTATGCACTGATTATGGCTCTCTCAATCCCTGTCCAAACCTGCTCCTCACGCTTTCTAATCTGACTTTGGCTTTCTGGATCTAATGAAGTCACAGTAAACATAACAGCATTATTTATTTGGCCCTTAGCAGTCCTGTGACAAGACGCTTTGGCTGAAGACATTGTTCAGCTTGGAAACAATACAAGATGAATCCCATTTTCTCGCCACTGAGAACTCTTTAGCTAATTATTTCTTGTAGAGTCTAAATTTTGAAAGTCATGACCATATAAAACTACCTCATATGCTCCTGAGCCCTTTTTCTGTTTATATTTATCAACTATATACAATTGTAAAAATAATTTTAGAATGATGAGTATGATTATTTTAAAATTACTATGATCACAGAACTTAAGTTTAATAAGTCTGGATGGTAGATGCCTGGTTCTTTTGAGTATGCTTAACAGTTTTCCTAGCTAATAGTAGAAAGACTTTTGAAACCATATTCACACTTATTCTTTGATGGAAATCATTGATATTTTCAGATGGGCGGAGCCTCTATGTTATTAATTCTACATAATTGCTTTATGAATTTTCTGGAATAGTGAACATAGCCCCCTGACTACCCTTTCAGTCTTTAAAGGGTGAATTATGTCCTCAAGTGGACTCTTAAGGATCTGCCTTTTCCCTGATGGGGTGGGGTTATCTGTCTCTGACCTTTTTATAAAAACAAAATAAGACAAGAAAATTCCCATCCCAGTAAAGCTAAATGGGTATATTACCAGGCAAGCCTCTTAGTCTTTCAGGGGCACTGATTCCTCACTGGGTTAATTGAGAAAGGAAACCAGGAAAATCTCTGTCAGCTTAGTCAGGAGTAGAACAAGGGAAAGGGAAAGACATAGCAAAGGACAGAAAGGGCACAGGCAAATTCTCAGTTACAATCAACTCAAAGTTGTGTGGTCTGTTTTTAAAATTGCCATCTGGTTTTCACTATGTAAACGTGTGTGTGTGTGTGTGTGTGTGTGTGTGTGTGTGTGTGTGAAGAATGAAGTAAACTTCAGGTTCTTTATTAAGCATTTTAAAAAGCCTAAATCTTGGGCCATGGACCAGCTTTTAGAAACCTCAGAAAATACTGTCCTAAAATAAGATCTTCCAGCTGTGAAATATAAAGAGGACCCCCCTCAACATCTGGAGACTGGTTGACATCTGGTTACACCTCTGCTAGGTCTTCAACAGGTTGCTGTCACTACTACTTGGATCTGCCATCTTGAAGACAGCTGCTTGAGAAATAAGAGATACATTAACGTTTCGGTGTCTCTAGATGGTGAGATGGTATCACCAGGAGCTTAGCTATGAGCCTAGCCAGTTTTCTCTGCTGCTGCTGCTGCTGCTGCTGCTATGCTGGCTATAGGGAAAGAGGGTAGGTAAAGTGGGAATGGTACAGGCAGAATAGACCTTGGTTCCATGACTGGGAAAGGAGGAAGGATCAGAAAGGGAAAGGATCAGAGGAAAGGAGCCCTACTGAACATGGAATCCAAAATGATTTACACTAACTTTAGATCTGCCTATTGCAGCCTTCTGTAACTCTGAGCCTACTTATGCTCCAAGTAAAGGGGAATAGAGCAGCTCTTCTTGGAAACAAGACTGGCCGATTCTGAGTCTAAGCTGCAGTATGGCCAAGACTAGGTTTTGCTCACTGGGAAACTGGCCTTTGTCCACTGTATTCATTAAGATGGAAACATCTGTCAATTGTGAGTGGCACTATTTCCTAAGGAGGGGATCCTGAACTAAGCACTAGTGTGCAAGCATTCCTTGAACTGCTTCTTGACTGCAATGCCATGTGACCAACTGCTTCATTTCCTGTCACCTTAACTTCTCCACTATAATAGACTGTGTACCTTGGAACTGTGAGCCAGAGAAAAAACCCTGAAATTGCTTTAGTCAGTGTATTTTATCACAGCAATGGGGAAAGGAAAACTGTGTCTTAGAGGATAATGAATTAGCAAGGACAGATTAAGAATCTAAAGAATATTTTTATCCTTTTTTATGCCAAAGGATGGTAGCCATTATTGGACTATATAAGTGTTGCCAGAGTTGTTAGTAACTGTACCTTGGGGATTTCACTAATATATTTGACCCTCAAGAATATGGGTAATGGGTGGAGGGTAGGCCACCCCTAGAGAGCCTAAGAAGACATGGCAAAGAGTTGGTTCAGCTCAAACCTAAGGAATATACACAGAAAGCCCTCTTTTTACACAAGCCCTTCTTTCACCAGAAAATCTAGATATTCCAATATCTAGGAGAGTTTGCTTGCTTATTCTGCCAGGTTATTGCATTCTATTTTCTGGACCTGGGACACTTCCCATCCTCTTGTTAACACACACACACACACACACACACACACACACACACAAAGCCTGTCTACACATCTCTTTCCATTTTACTCTTCTCAGACCCTGTCCTCTGTTCGTTACTCCCAGTGAACTTAGCAATGCTCCTTAACTCTGGAGGTCCCTAGCAGTTATAGTACCCTCAACACTGTTAGAGTCTGAATCCAAAATGACCCCACAGAAGTTTGTGTTTTGAGCATGTCATCTGCAGCTATGGTACCAAATGGAAAGCTGTGGGGCCTTTAGAAGGTCAGGCCCAGCTGGAAATAAAAGCACTTGGGCCTGGACTTTGAGAGTTATACCTACCCCTGCTTCTGCATGAGTCTTCTACTTCCTGGTCCACATGCTGCTGGTATCAGCTCTGGCTGCCATGGATCAAATGACTCTGCCTCCCCCACCAGGATAAACTGAATCCCTGAAACCATAAGCCAGGATAAACCTTTCCCTCCTTGTTTCTGTTGAGTATTTTGTCACAGAACAGAGAAACCAGCTAATACAAGTCATGCTCTTGAGTTTCAGGTTGCTGGATGGTGAACAGCTTGACATGAGGAGTTGTGTCTCATTTACCTCAGTGTACCTAAAGAATAGACAAGTGAATGAATTTGTATTAGTCTCATATCCTCCTGAGAGCTTTGTCTTATTTATAGACCCATAGGGCACCACCTCATATATGGTGGCCACATAGTGAATGCTGGTTGTTAAGTTACCAAATAGACTCATTCACACTCGTGTCTGCATTTGCCAAACCTTAACAATAACACTGAGTTGATTTTTTTTGTCGTGTCCTATAAAGATGAAGTATATTTTAGCTATTTATCAGAAGAGTTCAACTTTTGTCAGTATTCAGTCATCAAACTCCAAACACCATGTATCTCCCAGAGGATGAAACTACTTGCAGATCAATGTGGCAAAGGTCACCTTCAGTGCACACTAATCATGCCAGGTAGACATGTTCAACCTTTCCTGTCTCCCATACCTTCCAGGGCAACAGGAATGAGTCAGGGCATACGTGGGTCAACTGGAAGGAGAAAGCTAAGTTGATAGTCATTGTCTGTTTGTCACTGTGGTGTTCTTCTTGCCTGTGTTCTACACTTTCTGTGGGTGTATCAGATTACTTTGATGTCAGTATACATGACAAGGTGTTAGATAGAATCTCCAAATATAATTTTAGATTCAAGTTCTCATCTCCCTCCTAAGGAATCCTCTGCCAGAGATGTACATTAGAGCCTTCTGTTCCAGGTATACATTCTCTGAGTCTCTTTCCCATTTTGTATAGATGAAGTAAAAAAAAAAAAAAAAGCAGTCCTTACAGTGGACAGAAGGGAGCCTCATCCTTTTTCCACTAGCTGTTGTTTTGTTGGCACAGCCCTTCTTCCCCAAAGGAGGGGGCTCAAAAGACATATACCAGCTCTAGTTCGCTATGGTTTAATGCACGGTGTACAGAAGGGCCAGGTTTGGGTGGACCACGGATGCTAGGGAGCCAAAGTTGAACAGAGCTAAGTAATTGATACAAAGGATATTACCTGGAAGAACCTCCTGAAAGTCTTAGAGGAAAGTCTTCATTGAGTCAAAGGTTCTCAGGCCATTTGGTGAAACTTACTCGAAAATGGAGGAAACCTATGGGGAAATACAACCCATCTACCATGTATGCACAGCTAAATGACAGAGATCATACTGGATTTTAGTCTCAGTCCCCTGAGCTAGCCGTTCTTGTATATCACTGTATATAGCAGTACTGAGACCATCCCTTTGTCTATAATTGCCCCCTCCTGCTTAATCCCTTTCAGAACCTATAAATGGCAGCAAATCCCAGATTCAGCAACCACCCTGGAGAGCTAAAATCAGAGTATCCATTTTATTTTTGTGAAAAAAAAATTCCCTCTTGCCTATTTTTAACCTCTTCCATGCCCTGGGTATCTTACCCTCTCCTCATCCATCTCTGTTCCCTTTCCCCATAGGCTAGAAAGAACGAGCACGAAAACCTGTCACCCAGAAACAAGCAGCTGTGTTCCACATGTCGAGGATGTCAAAAAGTGAAAACGGTAGGCAGAGGGCAACAGACAAGCCTATGTGCGTTCCCAGACACAGAGTGCGTTCCCAGGCTTAGAGCTTCTCTGCCTCCCCAGGAGCTCTCTACAGAGAAATGGTGATGGAGCCCTTTACAAAACAGACTCTAACAGAGCCTGCAAATGAGGCCGTGGTCCTGAAAGCAGCATCTGTTGATATGATGTAAGCAACCTTCTTCATTTCAAGGAAAACAAGCCAGGGTTGGTGGACCAGAGGTAAAAAGATGAGAGGAGCTGCATTGAGGCTTGTTATTAGCTACATACTTAGAGAGATTCCAAGAGCTATGGGGCTTCTTCTGTCACCATGACATCTCCACAAAACACACACATACACACCAAGTCTTCTCCATTATTATAATTATGAAACAAGTTGCTTCCTTTGGAGTTTGTCATAATTCAGTCTAAGCCTCAGTAAAAAAGCTGGGGAGAGGACCTATAGTAGTTTTAGCCAGCCAGGAGTGTCCCTTGCCCTGGATAACTATAATTTGTAATGGAACATATTAGTAAGGAGGAATGTTGTGGGAAAAGAAGTCTCTCAGGAGATCTGGAAGGAACAAGGACACAGCACTGCCACATGTCAGAATCACTACAGAAAAGAGGCCTGTTTTGGGGGAGATCACAGGTCAGAATGAAGACATGGGTAACTTAAGGATTAGGGTAGCGTGGTACTGAGTTAGAGTAAGGGTTAAGAGTGACTTAGCTAACGGTCAAGTACAGGAGATGAAGGACAGCTTTAAGTCTGACATCCACTGAATCTCCTTGGACTTGAGGAGACTGGACGAAGGGTTAATGAATGAGGAAGCTCAGGGACCAATTAGATAAGGAGAAGGGCTGAGCTGTGTGATCAGTGAAGGTGAACTGAGTGCATTCTGGCAAACGCCGCCCTCAGTGTTGCCGTCTGTTGGTTTTCTACACACCAGGGACCACAGTGTTCATTGTGAACATTGACTGTGGTCTAGACTGTGATCACTCCTGGCTCCATTTCTGGAATCACATGCAGGATACCCTGACCTTGGGGATAAGCTGGCCACAGCCAACAGGCACACTTGGGACTTGGGAAGATCCTTTCTCAAGGCCTCTTCCTTGACCTTTGCCCTAGCTCAGGCCTGACAGGAATAGACACTTAGGCCATGGCTTCACTGCTGCTACAAGGACAGTCTTCCCACACAATAGTGCTCTTCCCTACTGCTGTCAAAACTGACTGAGAAACTACAGAAAGATAGAAAATAAGTCTGAAATGCTAGCCTTACACTACACAACATCCTTCAAGGGAAGGGACTGGTGAACCACTGTACTTGCCGTGACACTATCCTTCCTTAGCAGCTTATTCAATGATAGTCGGGGAAGATATAAAGACCCCCATGAGTGGAAGAGACTTTGTCAGCATACTATTGAACAAGCAATAGATTATTGAAATAATTGGATGTATTTTTTCTGGCCATAATACAATGAACTCTTTAAAAAAGGGAAATTTCAGAAATTGTATAAATGCATGGAAATATGCCAGCATACTGTTAAACAAGTAAAAGACTATTGAAGAAATAAAAAGAAAATTTACCAAAAATTTAAGCAACTGATAATGGAAAGAAAGTGTGTGTGTGTGTGTGTGTGTGTGTGTGTGTGTCACACACATACACACACACACAGAGAGAGAGAGAGAGAGAGAGAGAGAGAGAGAGAGAGAGAATATGAATGAATAACGGAAGCAATACATAAGAAAAGTTTACACCAAATAAGCATCTCTATTTTTAGATGAGGAGGGTAACTGATTACAACTAAGCAACCCTCTATGTAGTGTCTCAAGGGGATGAGAAAAACCAACCTCCAAGTTACTGAAAGAAGCAATAAAATTCACAGCAGAAATGGAGACCATAATACAATACCGCCCCCACATGACAATGATGTAATGAAGAGAACAACTTTGTGTACACTTTGTGTGATGCTTCTAATGCATTACTAGACATTTTAGCCAAACCAACTAGGCAAGAAAAAGATAAAAAAGACAGAAATAAAAATGAAGGAAGCCAAATTATTGCTACTTGCAGTGACAGGAATATATATACATTTCAGATATGCTGCTATCAAATATGCATGTATATCTATACCTATACCTATATATATATGAAATTAAAGATCATCAAGATACTGTTTGGACTAATATAGTCAGGAAATGTTCAGGATACAAAATTAGCATACAAAATCAGCAATATTTTGTTAACAATAATATAACACAATTGTTGAAAAAATCAAAAATATTCTATTTACAATAAATACAAAAAAGAAAGATATCTCCAATGAAGATTACAAAATTCTGTTTAAAGAAATTAAAGAGTTCATGAATTGTAAGAATTATAACTATTAAAATATCTGTTTACCCAGAGCAAACTCCACATGCAATACAATCTCTACCAAACTGCTAATAGCGTTCTAAACAAAACTAGAAAAAAATGTAAAATTCATATGGAAACTTAAATAACTGAATAGCCAAAGTTATATTGAGCAAAACACCAGAACTGTCTTACTTCAAAATACACTACAAGGTATAGTAGTCAGAATAGCAAGGTATTGGCATAAAAGCAGACCCCTAGACAAGCAAACCAGCACAGGGTACCCCTCAACTTTACAGCCATTGGATTCTCAACAAAGAAGCCAAAACTATGCACTGGGGGAAAAGACAGTCTCTTTATGAACAGTCCTCAAGAAACTCGTACCCACAGAAAAAAGAGAAAAACCTAGCTCTTCTTACCTTCCAAAAACAGAAAACAGATCAATAACCTACTAGAAAGAAACAGGAAACATACTTAAGATATTTATATAGGCTGTGATTTGGAGGAGAGAATAAGACACTCAAAGAACAGAAAACAAAAATATAAATGCATGAGATTATGTAACAAGCTAAAGACCAAACAACAAAAGAGCAAAGTGAAAAGACAGCCATAGAAGGGGCAGGTTATGAACTACTCTTTTACAGAGGGCTAATGTCTAGAATATATAAGGAACTTAAGTTTTCAATAATTTAAAAAAACATATATAGAATGAGCAAATGTTATAAGCAGTCACTTCTCAGAGGGAGAAATTCAAATGAGCAAATTTATCAGGTGGAAAACTCTGTACTTTAATAAGAAGTTAAACACACAATCATCTTCTAATTAGAATAGTTATTATCGAAAAATCCCTAAATAACAGATATTGGCAAAATCTGTAAGGGAATGTTTGTATATTGTGATAAGGGGAGGGAATTAGTCATTATGGAGAACAGCACAGTGTGGTGGCTCCTAAAATACTCCAAATAGGACCATGTGACCCAACCATCCATCTTCTATTATATAGCCAAAGGAACCGATGCCAGCATATCAACAAAGCATTTGAGCACTCTGCTGATTACCGTATTATTCATAGTAGCTAAGATACAGATCCAACCTTGAGGCCTTTGAGGTGATGAAAGGATAGAGGATGGGTGGAAAATGCATAATGGAATATTACTCAGCAACATAAAGAATAGTATCTTTTCATTGGCAACACAAAATCTTATACAGCCTGATGTCACTGAGCTAATTAAGTAAGATAAGTCGAGTACCAAAGCACACATATTACCTATATATAGATTTTTCTACAATGGCTGATGGAGATATATAATAGAGATCATTAAGAGCTGGGGGCAGGAAAGGACAAAGGTGACTAGTGGGTACCATAGCACAGGGAGCAGGAATGAGTCCTAGGAGTCTTTAGCACAGTGGGATGACTGCAGTTTACGGTAACCTTTTATTTTATGTGTCAGTAGAAGCAAGGAACCACGAATACAAGCCAATAATTTGGAAAGTGTCAAGTGTCAAAGTGAGCACACTGTACTAAATACATTAGTACAAATATGTGTTTGTCACATTTTAAAAACTTGTTTAAGGACAGGGAAATATTTAACTACCTGATTTAATTATCACACTATACACATATATCAAATTATGACCATAAGTCTGTACTCTTAAAGTTTCAGAAAATAAATACAGATGGGAAGAAAATGACTAGGCTCACCGTGATGCAGTTTGTCTCAGAAACAAAAATGCCGTTGTTGGCAGCTTTGGTCTGCGCAATCCCTAGACCCATCCTTGTGCATAAAATACTACTAGCCTGAGAATACTACCAGCCTGAGTGAGGGGCTTTAGAACAAGGCTCATGCTGCTTGGCCGGAGGTCAGTAGTTCCCTGCCCTGCCCTCTTTGGAGCACAGCCAACTCTAGATGACATTTTGGAAAATGACAAGGTCTTTTTCTGGCATCTTCTCTCCCCTTTCATGTGTCTAGAAATCTCCTCCCTAGGTTCTCAGTGAAGTTTTTGCTGCTCCCCTTTCTCAAATACTTCTGATCTCCTGGTCATCCCCCCCATTTCCCCCCTCTCCCCCATCTTCCCTCAGCCAATGATTCAGAAGAAGAAAAATCTGACTAAAAATGGTAGAGCTGGCATTGACTTTTTCCATTTTCAGGCTCCTCTAGAAGTACTGGACACAGAACAATTTGCAATTTTATTGGCAAGTAGGCCAAGGGAACACCTGAGGGGGGGGGGAGGTGCTGAGTGAACGTGCACTCTCCTTAAGGGACCAGTCTAGAGTGCTGGGGTCAAGTCTAAAGAAGTTTAGGGTGTGGTATTTCCTAGCTAGAGAAGCTGTGGCTCCATACCAACTCTAGCCTGGGTGAAAGGCACTCATTTTCAAACATGCTTCAAACTGTCATCATTTGCTCAATGATTTAATTTTGAAAATGTCTTAAATGGGCAGTGTAGGAGCTAGAAATACAAGTGTGGCAGTGTAGGGCTGTATGTAGCACGTGTCCTCGTGAAGATGAGTGTTGAACAGGAAAGCCAGACAGCATTAAGCAAGGAAGTGCACCGAGGTTTTGTGAGTGGTCTGAAAACAGGTCTTTAGACAGAGGCAGAGATGCACCAGGAGTCACCACGTGTGGAACACACTGATGGCTGCACTGAGAGGGGGAGTGGAGAGTCCCCAGAGGATTCTGAATAGTATCAGACACAACTCGGAGTTGCTAAGGTCCGCCGTGTAGGTCAGAATGTAGTTACAGCCAATGTACTGAATCAGGCTTTCTTTCTCAGGTACAGCCAAAAATGTTCATAATACCTGACCATCAGAAGTCATCCTCCCAGAATTCTCTGAATCACAGGTGAGTCAACCATGTAAGCTGGGCTATGATTCTAACTCTTCAGTACACAGGACTGGGACTGAACGGACAGTAAACAAAACACCCAGGGGCAAACTTCCTAATGGCTTTATCTTCTGTTGAAACAAAGGAGTCAGACTTGGTGAAGAAGTTGTTTCACTTCTTTACATGAATGACTGTTTAAGTTACTATTAGCACAACCTTTCTTTCCACCAACCTAAGAACAGTCCAAGGAGTAGGGAAGGACATTTCTTCCTCGCCCTCAGGCAGATAACAATTCTCCTGCAGATGATAGATATCTAATTCACAGAATATGACTGACAGCACACAATTTGTCCCGACTTCCAGGCATCCTCTGTCACCTTCCGTCAACTTAAATTCCATTTATCCATTTGATTGTTGTTTGCTGCAATGAAACAGAAATATAACAGAATACAACCAATACCACTGAAGTAAAATCTAGTCAAATGCTGGGTAGTGAGGTATTTAAACCTTTTTCCTGTATTTGACTATTAACAGTAAAGAATTTACTTCTTACTTTATATTTTAAAACTCTAGGAAGAACATGGAAGGAGTTGGGGGCTTGTATATCTGTGTATCTCTCTCTCTCTCTCTCTCTCTCTCTCTCTCTCTCTCTGTGTGTGTGTGTGTGTGTGTGTGTGTGTGTGTGTGTGTGCAAATATAATGTTCTCATTATGAAAACGTCAATTTACAAAAAACACCCAGGCCCAAATACAGTGCTATCCTTGTATGAAAACATCATAGTGAAACTCAACAGTAACAACAATAGCAAACATGGACCCTCTCTGGCTAAGGCATCAATGTTCTGAAGGCCTTATGGAATGTAAGCGTAGAGTCACCTTCACAAAGGAGTTAGATAGGATCCCAAGGCAACATTGAATTCTCTCCCTTATATAAAGAGAAAGGTGAGAGAAGCTAATTGGTCTTTCTAATCTAATGTGGCTCGGAAACAAGTGTTCTAATTGATTTTACAACATCATGGCCTTTTGTTCCAGACTACAACACAGCCTAGTGCACTGACACCATGTAGCAGTGCTGGCTTGGGTCACAAAGGTCACGGAGGAAACACGTGTCCCAGCAGTTCAAGTTCCAACACTAATAACATTTACTTATACTTTGTTTTATCATGATTAAGGTAATTCTGATAAATATTCTTTGCAAACTTTAAATAGAAATCTTTTTGAATCAAGGATTTCTGAGCAAAAGTGAATTCTCTGTGAAAAAGACTTTGAAATCTGTTACCCTGGTTTATTTAGAATGGTTTGTACTTTGAGTAAAGCACTTAATCCATAAACCATTAATTGCTTTTATTTTAAGTAAATCTCCCCTGTTCCTTTAAACTGTGGCTAAGAATTGATTGATCTTAAAATTCTCCTGAACCTTTGGTTTTGGTTTCATTTTCAACATAATGAAAGAAAGCCTACCACTTCTGTTTGCTACCTCCTTAGAGGGTAGAATATGGTTTTGGCTCTGTTTGAGGCTTATGAAATCTCTACACTTTTTAGCTCTCACCACATATATGGCCAAAGACATTGTCCCCACCGAAACAATTCCCTTTCCCCTACTACAGAGACATATTTTATCTTAATTTTTGTGTATATCATCGTGGGGGTGCACCTGCAGAGATGGAAAAGGCATCAGATGGTCTGAAACTGAAGTTACAGGCAGTTGTGAGCCCAACATAAGAACAGGGAACTGAACTCAGGTGCTCTGGAAGAAACAAGCCTTCTTAATCACAAAGCCTTCTCCCCAGTCCGCTCGATTCTAAGTGATTTTAACTAGAGCCACCACGAGAGCTGATAGTTTATGAATGTAAGGAATGAAAGAGGCAGAGGGAAAGAATGAAAACACACATACTTATTTGTTGAGTGGTAGAACACAGAGATCTTAAACTATTCATTCCTGAGAATTCTGCCGATTGTTTGCACAGCATGGATAATAGATTGACTTTGCTTCCTCTTTTCTCCACCTCAGTGAGACCTCCAGTGACAAGTGAATTAAATTTGTCTAGATCAGCCATATATTTTGGTAACAAAGCAACCACAGAAGATCTATTTGGAAGTGGGCACATTAAAAGGTGTAGATAGCCTTTCTCAGTGGTTCTCAACCTTCCAAATGCTGTGGCCCTTTAATACAGTTCCTCGGGTTGTGGTGAGCTGAAACCATGAAATTAATTCATTTTGCTACTGTTTTGAATTGTAGTGGAGACATTCAATATGCAGGATATCTGATATGCCATCCCCAAAGGGGTCATGACACATAGGTTAAGAAACATTGCTAGCTAGTTCATCAAATGGTAACAACTTATAAGTCTTGAGGAATTAAGCAGTTTAGATTGATCTGGGATGTTTTGGAATTGAATGTATTTGGAGCAAGGGTCACCCCCACAGCACTGGCAGAAGGGAGGAATGGAGGCTTCACAAAGCCTCTAACATTTCCTCTGTTTTGCTTTTCAAGGGCAAATTGACTGACTTGGAAGATTTCTTACTTTTTATGAAAATTAAAGAAATATTTCCTTAATCCTTACTAGTTTTAGATTCTCCATGTTCTTATAGTAGAATAAAATATGTTTAAATAAAGGTTTTATCACAAAGCATAAGGATACTACAGAGGAAAAGCACCTGAGAGTTAGTGGTGTTTGGACAGCTTACTCTCTCACCCTGCCACAAGGCCACAGTGTAGTTCACCCTGCTCTCCATATAAAGGCCCGATCCTCTTTGACTAGGCTCTAACTAACACATGTGTTTTCTTGATACTTCCCTCAGAGAGGCGAGCCTTCATTCGCAAGTGCAGCAGTTACATTCCTGCAATGATATTCCAACAGGTGTGTTGTCCTTTAGAGTAAGTACTTCCGGTATGATACATACTCCGCTTGGAGCCAGAGAATAGAAAACGTCGTTTCTATGATGCCTCTAAATATTTCTAAACAAGTTCCATTTTTTTTTTTTTTTTTTTTTGGTTTTTCTAGACAGGGTTTCTTTGTACAGTCCTGGCTGTCCTGGAACTCACTCTGTAGACCAGGCTGGCCTTGAACTCAGAAAATCTGCCTGCCTCTGCCTCCCAAGTGCTGGGATTAAAGGCGTGTGCCACCACTACCCAGCTTTTTTATTTTTTATTTTATTTTACATATTGTCTCCGCCTCCTCCTTCAGCTCTCTCTGTCTCTTCCGAGGATCTCACATGTTTTTATGTGCTTTTCAGCCAAGGCCCCTTTAGGTCACACAGTTCCCCCCCCCCCAAGTTATTGTCTGTCCTCCCTCCCTTTGCCTCTAAGATAGTACCTCCTACCCAAAGTATCTCTCCACCCTGGGACATCAAGTCTCTACAGGATTAGGCACATCTTATCCCACTTAGGCCAGACAAGGCAGTCCTCTGCTACATATATGCTGGGGGCTTCAGACCAGCTCTTTGGCTGGTGGCTCAGTCTCTGGGAGCTCTCAGGATCCAAGTTAGTTGACACTGTTGGACTTTCTATGGGGTTGCCATTCCCTTCAGTTCCTTCAATCCTTCCCCTGACTCTTCCATAGGGGTCCCACTCTCCATCCAAGGCTTAGTTGTGAGTATCTGCATCTGCCTCAGTCAGATGTTGGATAGAGCCTCTCAGAAGACAACCATGCTAGGCTGCTGTGTACAAACACAACATAGCATCAGTAATAGTGTTAGGGATTGGCGCCTGCCCATGGGATGGGTCCCAAATTGAGCCAGTCACTGGTCAGGCATTCCTTCACTCTCTGCTTCATTTTTGACCCTGCATTTTTTTTTTTTTAGACAAGCAGTTTCAGGTTGAAAGTTTTGTAGATGGGTTCGTGTCCACATCCCTCCCCTGGGGGTCCTGTATGGCTACTAGAGGTGGTCTCTTTAGGTTTCATATCCCCACTGTTGGGCATTTTGATTAAGGTCACCCACATTGAATCCTGGGAGCCTCCTCACATCCCAAGTCTCTGGGACTTCCTAGAGATTCCCCCCATCCCCCACACCTGGTAGCTGTGTTTCCTTTAGTTCTCTTGGCCTTCTGGGCCTCTCTCCTGTCTCTCCCCATACCTGATCCTGTCCCCTAGTTCCCTTTCCACCCACACCCAGGTCCTCCCTCCCTTGTCTTCCAAGACTGTTTTGTTTCCTCTTCTAAGTGGGATTTAAGCATCCTCACTTGGGCCTTCCTTCTTGTTTAACTTCTTAGGGTCTGTGTGGTGTATCATGAGTATTCTGTACATTTTGGCCAATATCCACCTATCAGTGAATACAAAGCATGCATGTCCTTTTGGGTCTGGGTTACCTCACTCAGGATGATATTTTCTAGTTTCATTCATTTGCCCGAAAAATTCATGATGTCCTTGTTTTTAATACCTGAAAAGAATTCCATTGTGTAAATGAGCCACATTTTCTGTATCCATTCTTTGGTTGAAGGATATCTAGGTTGCTTCCAGTTTCTGGCTATTACAAATAAGGCTGCTATGAACATAGTGGAACATGTGCTCTTGTGATACAGTGAAGAATCTTTTGGGAATATGTCCAGGAACAATGTAGCTAGATGTGAAGGTAGAACTATTTCTAATTTTCTGAGGAATTGCCAAATTGATTTCCAGAGTGACTGTACAAGTTTGCAGTCTCATCAGCAATAGAGGATTGTTTCCCTTTCTCTATATCCTCGCCAGCATGTGCTATCCCTTGAGTTTTCTATCTTAGCTATTCTGATTGGTATGAGTGGTGGAATCTCAGGGTCATTTTGATTTGCATTCCCCTGATGACTAAATATACTGAATATTTCTTTAATTGCTTTCCTGCCATTCAAGATTCCTCTATTGAGAATTCTCTTGGGCTATTTGGTTTATTGAAGTCTAACTTTCTGAGTTCTTTATATATTTTTGGATATTATCCCTCTGTCAGTTGTACAGTTAGTGAAGAACCTTTCCCAATCTAGAGGCTGGCATTTTGACCTATTGACATTGTCCTTTGCCTTACAGAAGCCTTTCAGTTCAAGATGTCCCAATTTATCACCTGTTGATCTTAAAGCCTGAGCTATTAGTGTTCTGTCCAGGAAATTCTCTCCTGTGCCAATGCGTTCAAGGCTCTTCCCCGCTTTCTCCTCTATTTAGATTCAGTGTATCTGGTTTTATGTTGAGGTCCTGGATCCACTTGGACTTGGTTCGGGGTGATAAATATGGATCTGTTTGCATTGTTCTGCACACAGACCACTGGTTAGACCAGGTTCATTTGCTGAAGATGCTTTTTCTCCTTTGTACAGTGTTGGCTTCTTTGCCAAAAATTGAGTGTCCACAGATGTGTGGGTTTATTTCATGGTCTTTGATTTTATTACATTGATTGACCTGTCTGTTTCTGTACCAATACCATGTGGTTTTTTATCACTGTTACTCTGTAGTACAGCTTGAGGTCAGGGATGGTGATTCCCCCAAGAAGTTCTTTTATTGTTCAGGATTGTTTTAGCTATCCTGGTTTATTTGTTTTTTCATATAAAATTGAAAATTGCTCTTTTTGATGTCTGTAAAAAATTATGTTGGAATTTTGATAGGAATTGCATTGAATCTGTAGATTCCTTTTGATAAAATGGCCATTTTTAACTATGTTAATCTACCAATCCATGAGCATCGGAGATCTTTCCATCTTCTGAAGTCTTCTTAGATTTCTTTCTTTAGGGACTTGAAGTTCTTTTCATACAGATCTTTCACTTGCTTGGTTAGATCACACCGAGATATTATTTCTGGCTATTGTGAAGGATGTTGTTTCCATAGTTTCTTTCTCAGCCTGTTTATCATTTGTATAAACTAATTTCTTTGAGTTAATTTTATATCCAGCCAGTTTGCCGAGGTTGTTTATCAGCTGTAGAAGTTCTCTGATAGAATATTTGGGGTCACTTATGTATACTCTTATATCATCCAAATATAGTGATACCTCGACTTCTTCCTTTCCAATTTGTATTCTGTTCATCTCCTTTTTGTTATCTTATTGTTCTAGCTAGAACTTCAAGTACTGTATTAAATAGATAAGGGGAGAGTGGGCAGCTTTGTCTTGTCCCTGATTTTAGTAGGATTACTTCAAGTTCCTCTCCATTTAATTTGATGTTGGCTATTGGCTTGCTGTATATTGCTTTTATTATGTTTAGGTATGTGCCTTGAATTCCCCATCTCTCCAAGACTTTTAACATGAGGGAGTGTTGGATTTTGTCAGACTTTCTCAGCATCTAATGAGATGATCATATGATTTTTTTCCTTTGAGTTTGTTTATACAGTGGATTACATTGATGGATTGTCATGTATTGAACCATCCCTGCATCCCTGGGATGAAGCCTACTTTATCATGGTAAATGATGTTTTTGATGTGTTCTTGGATTAGGTTTCTGAGAATTTTATTGAGTATTTCTACATCGATGTTCATAAGTGAATTTTGTCTGAGGTTCTCTTTCTTTGTTGGGTCTTTGTGTGGTTTAGATATCAGGGTAATGTGGCCTCATAGAATGAATTAGGTAGTGTTCCTTCTGTTTCTTGTGGAATAGATCGCAGAGTATTGGTATTAGCTCTTCTTTTAAAGTCTGGTCGAATTATGCACTAAAACCATCTGGCCCTAGGCTTTTTTTTTTTTTTTTTTTTTTTGGGGGGGTTTTTTAATGAATGCTTCTATTCCTTAGAGGTTGTGGGACTGTTTAGTTTATCTGATCTTGATTTAACTTTGGTGCGTTGTATATGTCCAGAAAATCATCTATTTTGTTTAGATTTTTTAGTTTTGTTCAGTATAAGCTTTGTAATAAAACCTGGCGAATTTTTTTTGTTATGTTTCTCTTTTCATTTTTGATTTTGTTAATTTGGATACTGTTTCTGTACCTTTCAGTAAATTTGGCTAAGGGTTAGTCTATGTTGATGATTTTCTCAAAGAACCAGCTCTTGGTTTTGTTTATTCTTTGTATTGTTCTCTTTGTTTCTAATTGGTTGATTTCAACCCTGAGTAAGACTATTTCCAGTTGTCTACTCCTCTTGAGCATGCTTGCTTGTTTTGGTTGTAGAGCTTTTAGGTGTGCTATTAAGCTGCTAGTATGAGAACTCTCCAATTTCTTTTATCATTATCATCATCATCATCATCATCATCATCATCATCATCATTCTTTAATCTTTTTTTTATAGTCCAGACTCTATCCTCCATTCCAGTCCACCTTCTGACTGTTCCATGTCCCACACCTCCTACCCTGCCCCTGGTCTCCAAAAGAACATCCACCTACCACCCCACTTCCTGGGACCCCCAAGTTCTCAAGGGTTAGGTGTATCCTCTCTGAGTCCAGACCCAACAGTCCTCTGCTACATATGTGTTGGGGACCTCATATTAGCTGGTATATGCTGCCTGGTTGGTGGCTTAGTGTTTGAGAGATCCTGGGCGGGGGGGGGGGGGGTGGGGGGGGTGTTTCAGGTTAGTTGAGACTGCTGATCCTCCTATGGGGTCACCCTCCTCCTCAGCTTCTTCCAGCTTTTCCCTAATATAACTACAGGGTCACCAGCTTCTATCCATTGAGATCTCTCCAATTTCTTTATGAAGGCAAAATTATTTATTAATTTCCTCTTAACACTACTTTCATTATGTCCATAAGTTTGGGTATCTTGTGCCTTCATTTTCTTTTCTTTTTTTTTTTTTTTTTTTGGTTTTTCTAGACAGGGTTTCTCTGTGTAGTCCGGGCTGTCCTGGAACTCACTCTGTAGACCAGGCTGGCCTTGAACTCAGAAATCTGCCTGCCTCTGCCTCCCAAGTGCTGGGATTAAAGGCGTGCGCCACCACCGCCCGGCTCATTGTGCCTTCATTTTCATTGAACTCTAGAAAGTCTTTAATTTCTTTATTTCTTCCCTGACCAAGTTATTATTTAATAGAGAGTTGTTCAGTTTCCATGAGTATGTGGGCTTTCTGATGTGTCTGTTGTTGCTGAAGTGCAGCCTTAGTCGGTGATGATCTGATAGAATGCAAGAGGTTATTTCAATCTTCTTCTGTCTGTTGAGGCTTGTTTTGTGTCCAGTTATAAGCTTGATTTTGGAGAAGGTTCCCTGAGGTGCTGAGAAGAATGTATATTCTTTTGTTTTGAGGGTGAAATGTTCTATAGATAATTGTTAAATCCATTTGGTTCATAACTTCTGTTAGTTTCATTGTGTCTCGTTTAGTTTCTGTTTTGATGATGTGTCCACTGGTGAGAGTGGGACCTTGAAGTCTCCCACTATTACTGTGTGGAGTTCAATGTATGTTTTGAACTCTAGTATGGTTTTGTTTATAAATTTGGGTATCTTTGCATTTGGAGCATAGATGTTCAGAATTAAGATTTCATCTTGGTGAATTTTTCCTTTGATGAGTATGAAATGTCCTTCATCTCTTTTGGTAACTTTTGATTGTCTATTTTATTAGATATTAGAATGGCTACTCCAGCTTGTTTTTTGGGATTACTTGCTTAGAAAACTATTTTCCAGCCCTTTACTCTAAGGTAGTGTCTATCTTTGTTGATGAGGTTTGTTTCTTGTATACAACAGAATGAGGGATCCTGTTTATATATCCAGTGTGCTAGCCTGTGTCATTTTATTGGTGAACTGAGCCCAATGATGTTGAGAGATGTTAATAACCAATGATTATTAGTTCTTGTTATTTTGTTGTTGGAAGTGGTACTGTGTGTGTGTGTGTGTGTGTGTGTGTGTGTGTGTGTGTGTGTGTTTCTCTTCTTTTTAGGATTGTTGTGAGATGATTAATTTCTTATGTTTTCCTGGGTATAGTTACCCTCCTTGTGTTGGAGTGTTTAACTTCTAGTATCCTCTGGGATACTGGGGCTAGATTAGTAGAAATAAAGTGTTTAAATTTGGTTTAGTCATGGAAGGAATCTCTTGGTTTCTTTATCTATGATGATTGACAGTTTTGCTGGTTATAGTAGTCTGGACTGACATCTGTGGTCTTCTAGGATTTGTAAGACTTGCAGGGTCTTCTGACTTTTAGGGTCTCTGCTGAGAAGTCAGATGTAATACTGATAGTTATGCCTTTAGATGTTATTTGGCTTTTTTTCCTTTTAATATTCTTTCTTTTTCTGTATATTTAGTCTTTTAATTATTATGTGCTAGGAGGATTTTCTTTTCTGGCCCACTCTATTTGGTGTTCTGCAGGCTTCTTGTACGTTTATATCCATTTCTTTAGGTGAGAAAGTTTTCCTCTATGATTTTGTTGAAGATGTTTTCTGGCCCTTTGAACTTGGAATCTTTACTCCTTCTATTCCTATTATTCTTAGGTTTGTCCTTTTCATGTTAGGAACTTTATATACTTGGCATTTTCTTTGACTGGTGTATCAGTTTCCTCTATGGTATCTTCTATGCCTGAGATTCTCTCTTCCATCTCTTGTATTCTGTTGATGATGCTTATGTCTGTAATTCCTGTTCTCTTTTCTAGATATTCAATCTCCAGGGTTGCCTCCATTTGTCTTTTCTTTATTGCTTCTATTTCCTTCTTAGGTCTTGAACCAGTTTGTTCATTTTCTTCACCTGTTTTGGCTGTTTTCCTGTATTTCTTTAAGGGATTTGTTTCCTCTTTAGGGCTTCTACCTGTTTGACTATGATTTTCTGTGTTTCTTTAAGGGAATTATATTGTCTTTAAAGGCCTCTATTATCTTCATGAGATGGGATTTAAGGTCAGAATCTTGATCTTCAGGTATATTAGGATATTCGGGGCTTGATGTAGAAGGAGAGCTGTGTTCTGATGATGCTAAATTATATTGGCTTCTGTTGATTATGTTCTTGTGCTTGCCTTTCACTATCTGGTTGTCTCTGGTGTTAACTGGTCTGGGTGTCCTGGATTGGAGCAGGCCTTCCCAGGAGGCAGGTGGAGCTGTGTGTCCTGTGTTAGAACAGGCCTCTTGGGAGGCAGGCAGTGCTGTGTCTCTGATTAGAGCAGGCCTACTGGGAGACAGGCAGCTGTGGGGGTGGGGGAGGGGGAATGGGAGAGCTGATCCATGGAAAGTGCAGGTGGAGGTTCAGACCAGAAGGGAGATGGGGCTACAACAGGGCACACACAGGACAGAGCCTACATCTGCTGGATTCTGTGGGATCCCAGTGGGTATGGGGGTTGGGGTGAGGGTCTCACCTATGTCTTTGGTAAGAGGCATCCTGGGAGGTAGGCAAGGCTGTGCAGTGTAGGGAGCAGCAGTGTAAACCTTTTTTTTTTATATAAGAATCAAATCATGTTTGAAGAAGAGGTCAAGATGATAAAGACTTAAGAATTATTCACAACATGAAGTATCTTTTGAAATATTAAACCCTTTCCCAGCTGTAGCCTTTTTGTAAAATCATGGCTGTCAGTTTTTTATAAGAACAGACCTATGTATTCATGTGTCTTGGAACAGTCTCCTCAGAACTGAACCCTCTTTTCCCTTGAGCTAATATTACAATTTCAGATATATTTTATTTTCAATTTAAATTTAATTGGCAATATTCTTAACACTTGGGTGGTGTTATTTCTAAATTTCACTTGGCATCTTCGATCAGATTTATAAAAGTCTAAATGTTGTTGCCATGAGATAGTTCTATTAAAAGAAATTCTTATGTGAATTTTGAGTATGCTAAGGCTAGAGGAGTCTTTGGTGGCCCTTGGTTATTTTATGTATTTGTGAGAGCAGTGTTTAAGCCTTTATTTTCTGTTCTTCTTCACACTGTCTTCCAGAGAGCATTCGCTACAGATTGCCCATTTTAGGCCCCAGGACTGCTGTCTTCCACAGGCTGCTGTCAGGTGCCTACGAAAGTCCTCAGGATACTCAGCACTGTGCCTTTCCCAGAAAGAAAGGAGTGAGCAAGACAGTGAAGCAGTAAGTGAGTGGCCAGAGCTCGTTACTCCCAAATCCTCAGGGCAAAGGCTGCCTCTCCAAGCCAGTTTCCGACACTGGTACCTTCCCCTCATCTTGTATCTCCCAAAAGTGGAGTCACTTTTCCTTCCTATGTGCTGCTCTTCTAGCTCTTACCACTTCCTCCTAAAGACAAAATGGTTTAATTTACATAACTATAAAGATATCTTAACACAGAGCATGCTAAGTGTACCTCATATTGTTTTGCTGAAAATTTTAATGCGTGCTATATTATAATAAATGTCAGCCTTCTTCTTATAAGCCATGGGTTTTCCATGTAAGTCATTTAGCCCATTCCTTCAGGTAGGAAGATCAGGGATGATGGTTCCTTGAGCCCTCTGTGACTTCATCTTATTCACAATAAGGGAGAAAAGGGAGAAAAATCACCTTTTCTTTTTCCTCTCTCAGTTCATTTTATAGCAAATAGGGGACACTATGATGTAATAACTGGCAAGTGACAAATGATTACTTATTGCAATCTGTGGTCACAGGAACCTCACATTGCCTTCTTTACTTTCTTACATATTAATCAAGTATTTAGCTAGTCTTTGCTTAATCATATCCATGCCATGCTTGAATTTTATGGTGACATTATTTTTATATGAAAATGCATGCTTTTCTGTTCTATGTTGATCTGTATGTACATCTGTGGGATACAAAGGAAAATTCCGACACTGGTACCTTCCCCTCATCTTGTATCTCCCAAAAGTGGAGTCACTTTTCCTTCCTATGTGCTGCTCTTCTAGCTCTTACCACTTCTTCCTAAAGACAAAATATTACATATATGGTCATATATTTTCTGAGACAAATTTCAAGAGGCTTTGTAAAAACAAACAAACAAACAAATAAAACAAACAAACAAATGCCCTTCTGTTTCTTAGGAAGCAACTGCCTAGTGGAACCCCAGACCCTAAGTAGATGCTAGATCAACCTATAAGACGGCCTCTGTGGCAACTGTTTTTTAAAGAATGGAGTTAAGAAATATCAGATCAATGACAATGAACCACTGTCCAAATTTAACTCCACAAAAACAAAGAAATAACAGACAAAACCTGTTTTGTCATCTTATGTTTGTGGTCGGCTATGATTCTTGTTTTCACTACAATTGGAGTTCCAGAACCTCAAAAATAGTTCCCATGACTTCTATCATTTCCCACAATTGACTAGCATAGACAAGCTTTCTTTTATTGTTGTTTATGCATACTTCAGTGAAAGGACTTGGGAGTGCCTACACTCCTGAATTAGAGGAACTACTTCCCTCATGCACAGTTATTTGGTAATATGAATATTATATAGCTTAGGAGATAAAGTGCTTTTGAAATCTCATTAAGATGGCCTTATCTAGAACACCCCAAAACTACATCATTAAGAATACCGTTTTCGTATTTCCAGTATTTCGACAGTGGGTGTTATGGTTTAGATCTTCAATCCTCATAATGGCCACAGAGTAAAGGCTTGATCTCTAGCTTATGACACCAGCAAGAGGTAGGATAATCTTTAAGAAATGGAGCCAAGGTTAGGTGATAGGTGACTCATCTCACCTATATCATACTTTGCTTCCATTCCACTGTACTGTGGAAAGTTATATCATTTGGGGACTTGCCTTGAGTGGGACAATGGGACTCTGTCCTGTTCTCCCTTCCTCTCCCTATCCCTTTCTTCCCCCCCCCTCTTTCTCCTTCTCTGCATGCTTCTTACACTGTTTGTTCTTGGGAACATTTTACACTCTTTAATAATGAAGAACCCCAAAGAATATTTAAATGGAAGTATATTTATTGATATCTACCACATTAGAAATTAAATAATTTTTAAAACTTTTAAAAATAATGTTTGAAGTACATACATTTGATGTCAGAATATTTAAATTATTACATGTCATTTAGTCTTGGGGAAATTCCTACCATATATCAGGAAGAAGAATAAGTGTGTGTGTGTGTGTGAGTGTGTGTATGTATGTGTAATTATGAAGTTGAGAGTTCAAAAGGACTTCAAAGGCTGAAGGATTTCAAGTCTACATTTTAAGACTTCAAGTCTGCAATATATCCTTGAATCTCCAGATCTCCAGGAAAGGGATTATATTTAACTCATGCCCAAAGTAATATGGTTCCTTGGTAGATGGTTTAGAGAGAAGGCAATGCTAGGTTAACTTTTAGCATCAGCTTCCCTTTACTACATATGACCTTTGTCATTTTTCTCAGCTAGTGTCCCAGTGAGAACCCAAGTCTGGCTCCCACAGCACTGTCATGTTTCAATTTGAATATGAGTGTTAGCTGATTTACATTTTAGTTTGTAGGAAATTTCCTGGGACCTAGGGGCCTAACCTGACTTCTTAGGCCTCAGCACACTAGTGATAACCTCAGTGGTATTGCTAAGTAGCCAACCAAGAAGAGTTTCCTTGTTACTTTGTTCCTACAATCAAATCCCAGAGAGTAACGGCACTGAGGGCAGAATGCCCCAAATTGGGATTCCACCTCTAACACATCTCCATGCATGACTAACCCACTGCTGCCATTTTAATTTAAACCTGCAAAGAGATCTGCAGATATACTTTGTGGTGGCTTTTCTATATCAGTAGTAAACTTATTTAAAATAAATCATCTTACCTGTATCATACTTTGCTTCCACTGTATTGCGGGAGGCAAATGGCGGACAGCGTCCCTATTGGCTCAGTTGCTCTCCCTTGGGAGCAGTAAACTGAGCCTGTTGTCATTTCACCTCCTGACAATTCTAAAGTGTCATCCAAAAAGCTGTCATGAAGAGGCCGAGCAATGTCTTCACTTGAAGTAATGTTATTCCTATGCCAAAGTTGTGTGCAGTTCAGATTAAATTTGAAAAATGGATAATCTTGGGCAGATGTTTTTATTTCAGAGCAAAAGCCTGATTTTGCTTTAAAGAAAAAAAACTCAATTAAGTTAAAAAATCTACAGATGTTGGTCATAACCACTTCTCCTCTCTTACCTTCTCTCACCCCAACAGGGAATTTAAAAACCAATCAATCTGCATAATTCCCTTATGTTAAGAATGGAAAGAAATACACTGAAGGCCTAAAATCAACCATAGGCCTAAAATCAGCAATAGGCCTGTCATACATGTATACTAACACCAAGTCTTGGGTCTCAGTGGAAAAAGATTGAAACAGATGGCTATAAGCTAATGTAAACAGGCAGCTTTTGTGGAAATCTACAAGCCTGAGTAGTCATAGACCTTGTAAATAGGTAGCCTTGGCAGACAATACCAAGAACAAGCAAGTCATAGGCAGAGTCATAGTGACTTGTCCCCTGAACCTTCACCCAGCCGATACCCGGTTCTGAAGATATCTGTATTCCCTCTGAACACCCACACTCCAGTGTCATCCCCTTCCCCACATCCTGCCTTTCTGTGTTTATAACCCCTGTGTGAATGAATTACGATTTGAGAAAAAATAAATTATATAAAAAAAAGAATGGAAAGAAATTCCAGATTTGGCAAAAACTGTGCTATGCTTTCTATCCTGTTGTGTTTTATTGTAATGCACGGCCATGGTCACGCCTGGTCCCAATATTAATTCTGGGAAGTTGGACAGGCTTACCATTGCCATGTTCTCTTGTCAAGGTCACTGTATTTTTCTCTTGATCATAACTATTGGATAAGGAGAGGGAGAAGGAGAGGGCGCCAGTGGCTGAAACTGTTAGCGAGTTGCTGTCTCCCTGGCCTAATGGTCCTCCACATGGGCCAGCTTCTGTTCATTATTTTAAATGTGCGTAACACCAGGTAGTCTCAAAGTTGTTCTGTTTAGCTTTCACCTGGTACAGTTGTTCAGAATTGGTACTGCCCAACAAAGGAAGAACCATGGGATTGCTATCTCTAAATAAGCCTAAGAACAAAACTACTAAGAATCAAAATTCAGGGGGTTGGGAAGCCAGTAAAGTGCTTGACTTGAAAAGATTGGGGTGGCCCCAAATCTTTTCTTTTCTTTTTCTTTTTTTAAATTTTATTTATTTTGTTTATATGAGCATACTGTAGCTATCTTCAGCCACACCAGAAGAGGGCATCAGACCCCATTACAGATGGTTGTAAGCCACCATGTGATTGCTGGGAATTGAACTCAGGACCTCTGGAAGAGCTGTCAGTGCTCTTAACCGCTGAGCCATCTCTCCAGCCCCCCAAATCTTTTCAAAACCCACATAAAAAGCTTGCTGTGGCAACATGAAGCTATCCTGGTACTGTTCTAGAACTTCCTAATGCTGGGAAGGTGAAGACAAGCAGATTGGCGGTTGTTGGCTAGTCAGTCTAACCTAATCAGTGAGACCAGTGAGAAACACTCTCACAAAACAAGGCAGATGCCACCTGTATATGCACCTACACATACACAACAGAGAGGCAGAGGAAGGAGAGAAAATGATCATGATTTAAGTAAAAATGTGCTGCTTGGCTGTCATACAGGAGGCCATGGGTTCAATCTTGAGGTTGGGGAGAAGGAAGACAGTGAAAGAAAGGATAAACTAACCCCTAGAGAAAATTGGGGTGATCAAGCACATCTTCAACCGTATTCTACTTAAAACCAACTTAATTCAGCATTAGATTACACAGCTCTCTTATAATTGTAATTGTAAATTTGTTCTTTTTCTTTCTTTCTTTCTTTTTTATGTGTAACCTAATAAGGATAACAACATCTCATGCTGCACTGTATCCCTGCAGGAGCAACTCAGCTATTTGAGATATATTTCAAATAAAGGCAAGTCTATCCCTAGGTTTACTAACTAATCTGTAAAACCACAAACTAAGATCCATAAATTTGGGGGTTTGAAAGCAGACTTGGTTAGGTATTGGGATGCTGCCTTTGAAGGAGTTATCATTTCATTTAGAGAAATATACACAGGCGTTTACTTACCACACACACACATACACATGCACAGAATGTATGAAACAGGAGTTACAAAAAGGAACACCCTTGTGGGTTGGGGATTTAGCTCAGTGGTAGAGCACTTGCTTGCCTAGCAAGCACAAGGCCCTGGGTTCTGTCCTCAGCTCTGGGGGAAAAAAAAAAAAAGGAACACCCAGCAACTTCTGCAATAACACTCTCCATATCACCAGCTACCCTGCTGTCTGAACCGAAACAAAGAAGCAATTATTGAACCTCATCAGCAAGGCTGATGGGAGAGAAATAGCTGTGTGTTATCGCTTGTTCTTTGTCAAGTCTTT